GAAGGCTTGAGTGGTTGCTGAGGGTGGTAGTGCGATGGTGGGGGGAAGTAGTGGTCAGGTGGTGGTTGATGGTGGGGGTAGTGGTTACGGTACTGGGGACGGTGAGGGGGCTGGTGATAGTGTGGGTGTCTCTGAGGAGGGAAGGGTCGCTGCACTGGGATGGGAGGCGGAGGAGGGGGCATGAAGTGAGGACGGATCATCGACTGCATCATCTGGTGGAATCTGAGGTCGGCCTGTGGGAGAAGAGACGCAGAAGGAGACACAGCTCAGGTAAACCCGTTTAACCCTCTTGCACAGTGACGCCGTGCTGTCAGCAGCATCATTCAGTATCAGTCAACTGTCAAACTGTTATCATGTGACAGGCCGTACCGTGGGGATCTGTGGCAGCGTGGGCACATTGATCCTGGGGAGGGACTCTAACTCTTGGCCCTGTTGGAGCAGCAGCAGGACCTCCTGGAAGCGGCTCTGGAGCTCAGCCTGGTTCCTCCGGACCACATCTTCCTTCTTCTCCCACTCCCGCCTCTCAGCGGGGTACTTCTGTGGGAACTCCACCCGCAGAGTGTTCAGGTACTGCCGCACCTACAACAGATATCCACAGCAGCCGCTTACTGCAACTGAACTATATCTACATGTTCAGACCTTCTCAACTTAGCTTTTTAGTTGCTTCAACCTGAAACCAGTGGCTCAGTGTTTTCCAACATAATGAATTCAGTGGCCACGAGTCATTTTTGAAAGGGAAACATTTCCAGTCAGTGAACATCAGTTCGAAGCTTTGACTGGCCTTACAAAGTCCATACCTGGCTCAGCCAGGCCTCGATGCAAGCCATGGCCACATCTCTCTGCTTTTCCACGGCAGTGATCTCGTCCTGTAAGGCCTGCAGCTCAGCCTCCTGAGCCTCCTTCCTCACTTGCTCCATCTCCTGCCTCAACTCCTCCAGCTCCTCCTGCCACCGGCACTGCTCCTCGCTCTGCTCCTCTGTGAGCGCCACCAGCTTACTCTCACTCTCGTCCAGCTCCTTGGCCAGCCTGGAGGGAGGAGGCGTATCAGGGGGAAGTGCATAAGCAGAACTAAGGTGATAGTAACACCAGGTGAGAGCTTTATCTAGAAGCTGATTTAACAGGAGGTCTTTCACAGACACCAACCATAGTTAATATTTCAAAACTGATACATCAGGCTTTTACTGCTGGACAGTGTTGGTATGAAACAGCTGCCCAACACTAACTGTGAAGTTTATTTTGGACACTGGTTTAATCCACATTTGTACATTTTTCAGCTGTTTTGTCTGTGGAACAGTTATCAGCTGGTTCAGACTGTAGCTATCTCGACTTTGATACAGTCTGGGCCTGTTGTTTCAGAACAGAAATCTTATTGAGACCAAAAAACACTGATGCCCATTTACTGATACTGGAGTTGTGAAACCTTTGACCAGAAGAGACTGTACCAGCCGGTATTTTCTGGCCAACTTCTCACTCTACTGTTCTGGTTTTCACCTGTTCCTCTCATCCTCTGCTCTGCTCTTCTCTGAAGTCATTTCCTGTTTCTTTTTTAAGAAGTTCTTCCTGGTGGCCATCGAGTTGTTCAGCTGCAGTTTCACTCGCAGAGACTCCAGTTTTTCCAGAAGAGCCTGAAAACACAGTCACTCTTCTGTTACAGGTGCTGTTTGTGTTGCAGCACCACAGCTGGTTAGTGCCTCCACCTTCCCGCCTCACCTGGTGCTGGCGTGTAGTCTCCTCCTTCTTCTTCTGCAGCTGTTGTTTGTGTTTCTTGTGTGTCCCCTCCTGGTCACCCCGCTTCTTCATCAGATTGTCATGCTGCTCCGTCAGGCTGGAGCTGTACTCCAACATGGCCGCCACCTGATTCTCCCAGTCCGGCTCCGTGTTGACGCCCAGCTCTTGTGTTGTGCTGTCCGTCTGCACGGCCTGAACCTTGGGCAGCAGGTCTGTGAACAGGAAATGAGTAGAAGAAAACAGAAAGCATAAGAGAAAACAACCAGTGACTAAAGGACTTGAAATTATTTCAGTGATTCAGACTCTGGTTGGACTCGCACAGCAGATTTCCCTTTGACAAGGATAAAGGTGGCGTTAAAGGCTGTTTTGTTGCTGGATTTAAACTGTTGAAACTTTAACATATAAAAACATTTTATGACTCCAGTTGGTTTAAATAGACCTAACTTTAAAACACCTTATACACTGTCGGGCAACATGTACTCTATTATCCTTTTAAATGGAGTTCATGTACAAAAATTATATATTCCTAGGGCTCTAAAAATGACATTTATTGAATATACAGTTCACTTAGGCTTAATAAAAATATCAAATCATTACAATTACTGGTGGCCACATTAACTGTTATGACATACTACACAACGACTTAGGCTAAACATAAAAAGTATTAAAAGTAAATAGCAATTGATAAAACAATCAAGCATCTGAGATGCTTGAACGTTAAATGTTTGGAATTTTACATGAAATCAAATCAGATAATTGTAGTGAATTAAAATATTTCCCTCTGAAATGTGGAGATGTATGAAACAGCATGGAAGAAAAATAATCACGTGAAGTACACGCAGCTCAAATCTGTACTAAAGAACAGTACTTGAGTAAATGTATTTATTTACTTTGGTCAGACACCAACACGCCACCTTCCACGGACATGCTGGGCACCTCCAGCTGCAGGTCCTCCCCTTCCTCCGGTAGCAGATGATGGACTTCGCACTCCTCTTCTCCTGAAACCGTGCCAGTTGTTACCCCGCTAGCTTCCATGCTAACACAACAGAAATCACGCTAAATCCTGCTAGGCTACTGTTAACGCCAGCGTGTTGGCTACACAGCTAGCTAGCAACGACGACGACCGCCTCTAAACACCAAACACACAATTTAAAATAAAAAAGTGTTGTTATCTGCTGTTAAAGTTCCGTTTACACCTGCCTCCGTACCCGGAAACAACTGTGTGTTACTGGATTTGATCCGACTGAAACCTTTGACCTGTCAGGCCACGCAGTGGTTCCGACACAAAGATCGTCCATATACCGAACAATTTAAAACATATTGATACAAAAATAAATTGATTAAACAAAGAAGTTGTGTTTTAGCGGACAACCAAAAGAATAGTTCGAAAACCTGTGAGCTGAAATAGTTGACAAAGAAATGTTTTGAGATGCACATTTTCCCTAGCAGCTGTTCTTTGTTCATGGATTTCATAAAACAATCAGTGGTACTCACTCAAAGAAGACATTATTCATGAATACGAATTAGTTTACTACTGCAACTAACGCATAAATGTAGGCCATGTCCATTGTTTTGGAGTAGTTACTTGTAGTTAGAAATTAAGTGTGATGTTAATTCTGTTTCAAAACGAGCATGTTGCTTTGACAGTTATATCCGGTTACATGAATGAAAGTTATGCAGCTAAGTTGTTAAGGCAAATGATGATTTAACGTTTAATTTCAATATTTTTTCATATTTTCTATTCAATAGGTTATAGTGTTTTTTCAGAATCAGGTGGATAAAACAAAATACTGTATTATAAGAGACCTTATTGGTCAGAAATTCATAAGCTACCCAGCAGTATGTGAGGTAATCCAATAATATACATTAATGTTTAATGTGCCATTCTGCATAATGAGTACTTTACTCTTGGTACTTCAAGTATATTTTGATGCTAATGCTTTTGTACTTGCACTGAAAATACATTTTGACTTTACTTATAACTGTACTGTAAGACTGTTATTTCTCCTTAAGTAAAGAATCAGAGTACTTCTTCCACCACTGCTCTTTCTAGTTACAATGGTATATTTTACCAGGGTAGCTGAATCTAAGAGCAAAGATAGGAAGCGTGTAACTAGCAGTGTCATAAAAGAGCGGCGGAGTGAGCGCCCTTCTTTTTCTGCCCCTCTCCGGCTCCCACCAGGACGCCTGTTGGTCACATGACACAGCTGGGAAATCCTCCTGATGCCCCGCTCCTCCCCTCGCTCTGTCACTAACCCGTTTTCTCGCTGTCTGACGGTGTTTGTCTGTTAGCTTGCTGTTAGCTATCACCACAGTCAACCGCAGGAACGACGCAAACATGGCGAACACGGCTAGGGACCCTCCGCCGGAGCAGACCGACTTCCAGGAGCTGGAGGACGAGGAGGACCTATTCCCGGAGCTGACAGTCACACAGGAGGTGAGCAGGAGGAGGAGGAGGAGGAGGAGGAGGAGGAGATGGTGGTAGTGATAGTAGTAGTGAGGGGAGGCCGAGGGGGACTGTGTCAGGCAGGGCGTGATGCTTTCAGCTGACAACAGAGAAGAACTTGGAGGAGCAGGGAGGAGAGCTTTAAAATGAGGTTTGGTGTGTTGAAGCCGTTTAAACGCATCAAACATTGTATGTGATCATATAACGGTGGCCTTCAAAGCGACAGTTACATGTGCCGAGGAGGGTCATTTGTGCGCAGCATAGGCTTGTTAGCTCCCCGTCAGGTGACAGTCACACAGGTGTGGGTGACGCCTTCAGGGCACGCTGGGAAAACGGGAAAATAACACCAAGTTTCTCTGTTGTGCTAATGCTTCTGTTTATTTGAATATCTTATTATATTATGGTTGGAATTTTCTGTGATCTTAAATTACTGTGTCTTCTCGCTGGAATTCACAGAAAAAGCAAATAACCCAGTTGGTATTTGTGTCCTGGCAGTAGTTGTTTAAACACGGTGTCAGTGTGACTGAAAGTACCAAGTTAAAGGGAACAAAGACTCAAATATTAAGAACAAGTGACACTAAAATGCACTAATTAGTTTTCAGTAATAAAACAAGAAACTGCAGCCTCAAATGTATTTGAGGTTAAATCACAAACTCTTAATAAACATTAGAGAATTAAATGGTTTTTTCTTGCACAGGTGGATTTAGATCATGTGTCATGTCTCGTGTCACTGTGTCCACTCCCTCTATAAAGTACAAGTCCTCAGTTTTGTAAACTGAGTTTAATTGAGGGATTTATAAACACAGAAGGTCTGTGTAATGAAATCTGATAATTTAATAGACTTTGCTTCATCATGAGTGTCACTAAACTCCAAGTCGTGTTTGTCATGTAAACGCTGAGGCAGGCAGAGAGAAGACAGAACATAGAGTTGTTCGACATTTTGGAGTTTGATACCAGTTAGCTTAGCTTAGCACAAAGACTGGAAACTGGAGGAAACAGCTAGCCTCCCCCTGCCCAAAGGTAACAAAACCTGTGCAGTTTCACCGATTTAGTCAGTTATCATGGTTGACTGATTGTCCCAGCTGCAGTTTCTCCCTTCCACACTGAGCCTCTATCAGGTGGACAGAGAAGAGGAGGAGTGAGACTTCTGTCTGTAGCAATATCTCTGCTTATCACTTTAAAACAGTTTATCAAAAGTGTTTCAACTGTCACAAGTTCAGCTCAGAAGCGGACTTGTCAGGCTGCAGTAGAGCAGGCAGAGTTCACACACACACACACACACACACACACGCAGGCCAGTTTGTCTCTTTTTGTCATGTCAGCACTCTGGATTTCATTCCTGGTGATGATTTTCTTCTTTGAGTGTCACAACAGCATTCTTCATTGACCCGTGTGTGTGTGTGATCCACTTCCTCAGTGAGCAGCAGAGTGAACCTGTGTGTGTGAGTTCAAGGCCCATATGCTGCTTCACAAGGACCAATAAACAGACTGCCTTCCCAGTTTAAGGTGGACTGGGGTTAGGTGGTGTGTTTAAAAACCTCTGACTCCTCCAGTTTCCTCCTTTAGTGTCTTTGTTTGCAGAAATGTGGAGCAGATTCTCTTCTTTGAGTGTCACTGTACCTACTCAGTGGTCAGTTTATTAGGAACACTTGTCTCAAACGAAGTCCTGCAGTCTTCTCTGTGAAGGTCACAATGTTCAGTTTGTGTTTCACATAGACTTAGAGGTGTTTCTTTTATTTTGTCCACCTTCACTTTTACAAATGGGGGCCCCCCCTGAAACCACTAAGCATGAGCTTCCTCCACAGATGTCGTGTTCCCTTTTCATGCAGCTGCTTCCTGCAGAGCTGGTATTTGTGAGGTTCACCGAACTAGACATGTAGCAGTCAGTGTTGGTCTGAGTTTAAACTAGAACCTGTTTCAACTAGTTCACACTGTAGTTCAGTGGATTTTCTAGAAAGGACCCTGAGGAGTCAGACTCGGCCTCAGAAATAAAACTGACCACATGAACTCAGCCTTAAGCTTCAAGTCTTAGTTGTGGTTTTTGAGTGTAAACCACTTCTGACCATGTGTTGGTGTAAGAATGCAGCTGTGTTGGTGTGTGTGTTTCCTCTGAGTGAGTGTGTGTCTGCTGAGTAAGGAGGAAGGAAGCTCCTGGTTATCGTCACTCACTTCCTCCATCCTCCCCTCCTCTTTGTGTCCTGTCAGCTAAAGTTATTCTCCTCCAGCTGAGTTTGTCTCTCGGTGAGGAACTCTCAGGCTCAGTCCACTGGGTCTCCACCGCTGACCCCACTTCACCATCATAGTTTTATCTTCTACTTTACCTCATAGCTGTCGCCAAACGTAGCCAAAGCTCAAATTTATTTTGTCCACACATGCTTGAATAATTGTCTAAATGTGTCCATCTGCCATATGACCTGAAAACCTTTTTTACGTTTAGCTTTCAGCTAAAAGAAGATGCACTCAGCAGAATCTCTAACGTGTGTGTGCTGGAACACACTGAGACGTGGTCACGTTTGGTCTGTTATTACAGTCCGACAGTCGGTTTGTGTTGAGAAGCTGATGGGTTTTGTTGTTTAAGGACATCAGCTCCTAAGTGCACAAGCTAAAAACATTAGCAGCATTTGGTGCAGATGTTTGAGAAGGATTAGACACTGAAACGCAAGATCCACGTTTGGATGACTGAAACGAGCCAGCTGCCTCACCCTGATATCCAGATGTGCACACATTATCTTCAGACACACACATCCACCTGATGTGAGTGTGGAGGCCAGTTTTCTGCACATGCGTTGTTAATAATCCATCACGCTGTTCAAAGTCATCCCAGATCAGCCTTTAACCACACACACACACACACACACACACACACTGCTGACGATGGAGTTTTTCTGCTGCTGTCTCCGTGGTTACCCTGCGCCCCCTCCGATGGCAGTAAAGTAGCGTTAGTCACTCGGGGCTGATCTGACGTGGGAGGCGCTCTGTTTCTCTGGAAGAAGCTGTGTCCGTTGAGGTCACATGACCAGTGCCTCGCTGCTGCTGATCAGTCAATTTTACCTTGCTGGTGAATCAGCTGCTGCTTCCTAGCTTGCACGGCGGGAAGATGCAGCAGGGCGGACGAGCCGCAGATGGTTTTTCCTTGTGTGGAGCATGTCCAGTCTGCACAGCCACTCCGCTGAAAGCCGAGGCGCTGCACTGTGACGTGGAGCACTGCAGTTTTCAGTACGATCCAATAGTATTCTAGACATTAATGTGACATGGGCCGTTCTGCAGAGCGACTGCTGGTACTTTGGATACTTCAAGTATATTTGTATGCACATTCTTTTGTACCTTAAGTAACTTGGTAGTTCCTCTAATACTCCTGGCTACACAAACACAGTACGATCACATGACCAATGCACTGAGAAAGCTTAATTTAAGTCAAATATTAGTTGTAAAATGTAACAGCCAAGGCAAAATAAAAATTAAACTGCATATTACAGACAGTAAGTATAGAATCTGTCAAATATTTAGTTTAAATCCTAAATGTTTGTATGTAACATGTTTATATGATGAATCCAATCAGATCCCACTTCACAGAAGTTTCTCTGCTGCTTCTATAAGAAACTGGTTGTCGTTGTTCTGCTGCTGTACAGTGTGTGTGTGTGTGTGTGTGTGTGTGTGTGTGTGTGTGTGTGTGTGTGTGTCCAGCGGCCACCCGACCCTCAGCACCAACTCAAACGGACCCAAACAAGACTCACTGTTTGATGATGACCCCGAGGACCTGTTTGCAGGTAAATGTGCACACACACATGACATGTCACTTCAGTTTGGTTTGCTCTCAGTGTCCCAAAGTGATAAAATGCAAATAACTGAACTGGTCATTGACCGAAGTGTCCAGAGCCGCTGCTGTGGCTCCAGACCTCAACGTCTCCTTCAGATGTGAACAGAACCTGAACGGTCGCGTTTCACAGCAGCTGGGTTTTGTCCACAAGTTTGAGAAAGCATTTCAGTAAACACAGTAACACTGTGTCCTGTAAAAAGTAACCGGGCAAACATTTACCGCTGTGTGACACTGCACGGATGCAGGAAGTGGGACTTTAGAAACGCCAGGCAGCGAGGCTCTAACTCTGTGGTTACATTCTGGGAAATGATCCGGTTCAAAGACTGACCCTCACTAGAGACTAGACGTTGTATGTTTCAGCCTCTGGTGCACAGATTTGTCTTTGTGGTATTTGGTTCAGCGGTTTTTGCCGTTACTGTTCAGTGGGTTGTATAGAGGTGGACAGGAAACGGAGGCGGCAGAAGCTGCATCTCAGGTCTCGTATATGATTGTTGCTCCCTGGTCACTGACCAGAGCTGTGGCAGTCATCGAAGACTTCAGCGAAGGATGCTCCTGTGTACCCTTGCTCATGGCTCCTCCTCCTCGCCTCTCGATCCTCGCTCCGTTCTTCAAGATGGCGGACTGGAATGATGTCTGGATCGAAGAGCAAGGAACAGTAAATTAAGAGAACTGGGATTTTGTCATGGACACTGGGTGAACAGATAAACAGCATTTTTCACAAATCTCACAGTAGATGAGAACAACATCTGTAACCATGGTAACTGTACACAACAAAGATGGCGACAGCTGCAGCCTGAGAATGCCTGGATAAATATTGTAAGTTAAAATGTTCTGACTGAAACTACTATGGACTTTTACCAAAGCTAAATCAGGTGCCGACATTCACACGGTGTCAGTGTTGTGGTGAAATGTTGACCACACGAAACGCGTTGCTGCTGATCAGAGGCAGACGTGGTGCCCAGACGTGGTGAAAGGAGCCGACCTGACGTGAGCCGCTGACCACACGTCTATGGTGTTTTACAGCAACTTAATATTGGCTGATATGAAAAACATTCATTTACTCGGTCTCACACACACATGCACTGTTTCTGTGTATGTTTGTGGCAGAGGCCACCGAGGAGGTTTCGCTGGACAGTCCCGAGAGAGATGTGCTGCTGTCCGATGGCCCATCGCCCGCCATCACTCCCATCACCCCTCCCATCTCCATCATCACCCCTCGCATCGGCCACGACGACATGTTCACACACTCCTCCTTCGATGAGGTGACTGCACACACACACACACACACACACACACACACGTAGGACAGCTTCAGTCGATTCTGATCTTTGAGCTCAGTTCAGTGTTTGAGTTTTATGAAATGATGAACAGAAACGTTTTTTACATTTCATCAGTCAAGCACAGAGTTTGTCATCTTGCTTTAAGTGAAATGAATCCAAGTTCACCCAGATTTTTGGTGGAAGCCGACGTTGTCGCAGTGTTGACATCCTTTTATTGTGCTGTGTTCACTGAGCTGTACGTCACCCAGATGCCGTCGTGTTGTTTGTCTCGGTTCCTCGGCTCTCTGCTTCACTTGCTCTGTTTTCTGACAAAAGCATTAAAAACATTTTTCTGACTGAGAACAGAAAATTAATTGGGAATAAAATCCCATGAATGACTTGTTGTGGGCAAGGAGGGACAAATGTTGCACTCACATGCATTCTGAGTTTTGAGGTCTGACAAATGTCAGAATTTAGTTTTGTAGAATCTTAAGATGAGAATAAAGACTTTCCTGAGGGAGAGTCAGGATTACGTTCTCTATACACTGTACATATAAAGAGAGGAGGTAAAGGACCTGCTGTTCTCTGCACAGAGCCTTTTCAGACTCATTGTGTCCCTGTCTCTTGTAGATTGAAGAGGAGGAGGGTAGCGACTCGCTCGACATACACATATCAGTGTCTGACCCTGAGAAAGTTGGTGAGTACACGCTGGTGTCGAACATTCTGGAACAATGACACCAGGGACATTAGTGAATCTGTTGCTTATTGCTGTGATAAAGAATATCTTTCTTGAACTTGTTGCATTAGATGATTTCTCTCACTGTCTGATGGTATCTCACTGTCAGTGCTTGCACCACATTTCCCATCAGCCCTCAGTGCGTCCTGCCCCTCCTCCCACTCTCTGAAGAGAACAAATGTTTTACTGTCAGCACAAACTCAGAGAGGGAAGACGTGAAGCGCAGAGCGGACACAGTGGCGGTCGCCATGCTGCTGGGTTGTCAGTGGCTCTGTGGCCCTGCTGCTGCCCCCTACAGGCTGTCGCGTGTCTTTACAGCCACAATACAGAAGAGGGCTGACAGTGATGGGCAGTAGAAGTGAGGGTTATTAAATGTGAGCCGACTATACTGGACTTCAGTTTCAGGTTCATCAGGTGGTGGAGCTGTCGATTACTGGACTCGCTGGACAATCTTTTTATGTAAACATGAGCCAAGTCACAGCGAGACAGTAGATTAAACTGTTGAAACCAGTTTGATACCTGAGCTGACTGGATTCCAGTTTCATTTGACTTGGAAAATATTTATCTGTTTAAATAGTGATGAAACATGTGACAGTGTGTGTTTGTTTTACTGCTTAGTGAGACTGCTTCTGTTTGTGTGCTGACTTGGCTCTGCTGTGTGTGTGTGTGTGTGTGGTGTGTGTGTGTGTGTGTGTGTGTGTGTGTGTGTGTGTGTGTGTGTGTGTGTGTGTGTGTTCCAGGTGACGGGATGAATGCATACATGGCCTACAAAGTGACAACCAGGGTGAGAGTTCTTTTCTTTTCTCCCATTGTCTTTGAACATTGTTGGATATTAGCTAACGTTAATGAACATATACCTACTCACACTTGTAGCTGTATTCATGTTTTATTTGAGGTTAAATATTTACAGCTGGGTGACAGATGAGAGGACAGATCATCACCTAGAAGGGCTGAGTCGCCAGAGCCTTGTCAGGTCTTCTCTGTCGGAGGAGGAAACCTCCTCCTTCCAAACCAGATCCCCTCACTGTGTCCAACCCACTGTGTCGTCCTCATGAAGCCCTTCAGTGACCTAGAGCTGCAGCCATGAGTCAGTTCACTGGTAGAAAATGAGCCTCAGCTATTTAGAAGCAACAGTCGCCGACATGTTCTGGTTCCACTTTGTTTAATGTGAGGAGCTGATTCTTTTCTTTGTCAGACATGAGCATCAGCTGAGTGTCTGTGGGTCTGTTGGTTGGACACAACAAGACGTGGAGACGCCACCTTTGGCTCTGGAGAGTCACAGTGGGACTTTTCTCAGTGTCTGACATTCTGGGGATAAAACGATCAATCAGATCATCAGGACGATGATCAGCTGATTGATCAGTGGCCCTGCTGTGTGTATGTCCATTCAGTGAGTCAGGAGTTCCACCAGCTGTGTCTGTAAACCTGCAGAGCACCTGTTTATAAAACAATGTGATGTGAGACGGTGTAACATAATACTTTTAAAACCGATAATTGTTCGTACACGTTGGCGTCATGACAGAACATTTCTATTGGAGGGTGCTGTGCTCATGACTGTCGCATTGGACGTTCCCAGATGTTACTGAACACGAGGAATGTCTTTGTTTTGTAACCAACAAAAACCTCTGCATCATTTCTCTCTCTCTCTCTCTCTCTCTCTGTGTGTGTCTATGTCTCTCACCCAGACCTCCATGTCACTGTTTAAGCAGAACGAGTTCTCAGTGAAAAGGCGTTTCAGCGACTTCCTGGGTTTGCACAGTAAACTGGCCTCAAAGTATCTCCACATAGGCTACATCGTTCCCCCAGCGCCGGAGAAAAGCATTGTGGGTATGTAAAACTTGTACTGTGCCTTACCTGTTCCCAACCTGTGGCCCAGGAATCTATAAGGGCCGTCTGGGCTCATGGAGGAGGTCACAAGTAAAATGTGGCCTTTAGTTATCGTCGATTATCTTTCACCAGACGTTAACACAGTATTTCAGTCTCCGCCCTGTTTGAGGGGACACACAGCTGGAAAGATAAACGTCTGTTGATTAAAATATTTAATCACATGATTGTGCATAGTTAGCTCATGATTAATTGCATTTTAATTTATTCTAAACAGTGGTTGAAAGTAACTAAGTACATTTGCTCAAATACTTTACTTAGGCACAATTTTTAGGTCTCTTATTTTCATTTTGTTACTTCATACATTAACTTCAGCGTTTTAGAGGCAAATTTTTATTTATTTTTTTAACTCCACTACATTTATTTTAGAACTTTAGTTACCAGTTACAAATTCATCTGCCCGGAAGTAATTCAAATTAAATGCATGTAAGCCAGTTAAAACTGTGACTGCTCGTCTGCAGGGATGACGAAGGTGAAGGTGGGGAAGGAGGATCAGTCGTCCAACGAGTTTGTGGAGAAGAGGAGGTCGGCACTCGAGAGGTACGATGACAGAAAACAGACGGCGGCTCGTCTCTTTGACTTGTCCTGTGTAGTGCATTCAAGGAAGCTCTGACATTTGAGACTTCAGCTGCTGAAAAGCTGGTTTTCAATTTTACATTTTTTGTTGACTAACAGTAAATACAGTATTTACTATATTTTGTAAATAATACACATCTGTTATGCTTCTTGTTGTGTGGTGATTAAAAATGAGATTTATGTTTTACCGGCCTTTAAAGTGACACAGACATCTTGAGTGAAGTTTCCGGTCTTCATTGTCACATGCACAGAAAACAAGTTGCATCTGAAAACCTGAGTTTGCTGTTTGCATTCATAAAAAGGAAATTCTTAAAACTGCATTAAGGAAAGTTAGTACAGAGGATTACCAACAGAAGGAAGGAAAATGACTTGGATATAATGATGGTGATAAAGTGTTAAGCAGCATTGTACTGTCCCGTTGGCCGCAGTAGTTGAAAATAGAGCTTTTCATGTTGGACCTGACCCGTGTGAATTCACGTGGTGTGAAAAGGCCTGTGGCTGCAGCCAAACTACCTCCTCTGCTGCCTGCAGCTGTAGAAACAGGAAGGTAAATGAAGAATAAGCAACACCTTAGTTTTTGTTTGGCATTAAAAATGCCCCTGCTCACAGTAGTGATACCACATGACTACAACAACACAGCTTATTAGAAATTAAACTAACTCACAGTCTTGTCTCCATGTTTGTGTGCATCTGTAGCCACAGTAAAGATCAACCTGGTCAGAATTTAGAGGCCGAAAGGTTAAACCACAAATATTAGATACATCATTATGATAATACACGTTTGTGTGTGTGTGTGTGTGTGTGTGTGTTGAATACTGAAGAGCAGGCAGGTTGGCTGGCGGTGGGCGGGGCTGACATTCTGCTGCCCTTTACTGGTGGTGTTTGATTGACAGGTGGCTCAAGCTGCGGAACTCCACGCTGATGGACACGTACGCATAAACAAGCGCCAGGTTAATCAGGACAAAAATTTGTAGAGATGAAAAATTTCCCAAGTTAAGATCAAACCAGTAACCTGGCCAGTCTGTGTTAGATCTGCACTGGTGGCCTTTTACTGTGCTGGATATTGAGGAAGGTAAAACCAGCAGGTGGTGGCTTGGTGTCGTGCAGCAGCCACCAGGAGGAGAGCACCGTCGGTGGTGGTGTGCCAGAAGCAGCAGTGTGGTGTGACCTGGTATTGGCTTTTCTCTTTCAGGTACCTGATGAGAATCCCGTCCTGCCGAAGGATCCCGACGTCCTGCAGTTTCTGGAGAGCTCAGATGTAAATAACACTACACATTTCACCAGATGGACGTCTGATCATATGTTCGACATGTCAGCGTCGGTCTGTAGGCAGATTCATGTTCCCTCCCAGAAGTGAGTTTACAGCTGTCCTGCTGCCTTTCACCGTAACAGCTGGCAGACTGTCTACAAAGCCTGAGCCGCTGGACCACAGTGCAGTCAGAGTTTGTTGGGAACTTCTTCTGCCACTTTTGTCTGAAGCATTTAAGTTTTCACCTGGATGCTAGAGGACTATGTTGGTGTCAGAAGCATTGAGGGTAGTCTTCATGACGACAAGGGAAAATAAATAGTGTCTGAAATAGTTTGCATGCCTCTGTGCACACAACAACCACGGGAATTTCTTCAGATTAGCTACGAATACCCACGTGCACTCAAAGTTAGATTTATGAGTCAAAGGTCAAGGTTACTGTGACCTCTAGTCCATCCCTTATTTTTTTCAAATGTAGCACAAACATCCTATTGGATACAAGGATGAAATTCCCTCAGTCTTCACTGCATGTCACACATGTAAACTGCAGCTTGACCTGCTGGTGGAGGCGTACACCCCGAGGCAGTAAGTCTAGTGTGATGATGCTGTTGGACACGGTGGTTTGTAGAAGAGCTGGTCAAAGCTGCAACAAGCTGACAAAACCAGGCTGTGCACACAACACTGATATGTCACCATCTGTTGTGTTTACATGCTGAACTTCCACATCCTGCAGTTTTCACAATCCTTTGTCAGTAGTTGAGCCATCAGACAGCTTGTGTTAGAGCAAAAACAAATAACCTCCTCTCAAAAAAGGCAAAAAACTCTGTTTCCATGTTCCAGTCTTCCCAACAAGCGGCAGAACGTCCTGACAAGGTCAGAGCAGCGAGTCTCCGCCTGCGAACTGAGCCTCTAAAAACTGCCTCGGGGTTTAAGGGCCTGCGGCGTTTCCTGTTTCCTTGCTTCATTGTTCACTCCCACTAAATCCTCTGTAACATTTCGTCTAACCGCCCCACCCTCCTCCTCCTCAGCCCCCTCACTCCCACCTAACTGTTGGTGGGATTGTGTTGTGGAGGAGCCGGCAGTTGTTGGGTCCAGAATAAATGGCCCTGTGTCACAGATTTAACAGATGAATCGCTTGGACGCTTGACCGAGCGTGTCGGTCCGTCCGGCCCGTTAATGAAACACAACCAGAGCTGGAGGGAGGGAGCCGGTGGGGGGGACAAATGGGACCAGGCTGCAATTGAAAGCTATTTTTACCTCCTGCCTCCACTCATTTACCCTTGTCCCTGCATCAGCTCGGGCCCCAGGGGCCCAGCCGTCCCCTGGCTGCTGCCGCTCCTGTTTAATGAGATTGGGGGGGTGGCAATCTACTCCGCCATCAGAGGAAAACCTCATATGTCCAGGAGAAAAGTAAACTTTCCTGAAATGAAGAAAGATGAGCCTATTTTCAGGCAGACATCCAGGTGTTTTCAGAGTGACGCGATGGATTCAAGTTTGGTTTTGCAGCTGTTAACATTGCACATGAAGCAGCTGATAGGATCTAAAGCAATGACATTACAATCAGAGAAGAAGAGAAAAGACCCCAGCTATGGTGGTTAGAGGTGAAAAGAAAGGCCGAGCAGGAACAAGAGTCCCAACAAATGCCAGAAAAGAAAGTAAAAGTCAAAGGAAGAAGAATCATTTGTTGGTGAAAGACCAAAAAGTGATTCAGGAGCTGATGAGCAGAGCAGTAAAGGAAATGCAGTGAGCGAAGGGAGCAACAACTGGGGACGTTCAGGGGAAGGGAAGAGCCAAAGAAGGAGAAACAAACAGGGAAATAAAGGCTCCACGGTAGACTGAGTCACATGTGAGAACATGGAAAGAGTTTTAGAAGCAATAGATTAAAAAAGCAACAGTAAAAATGATGAAAGACATGTAAATGTGATTGAAAGACAAACAAAACGTAGGCGTGAAGTGTAGATGAAGGTAAATGTTAGAAAGTAAACATAAAACATAAAAGCTTGGAAATGTTCAAATTAAAAGTTTATTAAAAACTGTAGCAAGAGGAGACGTACATTATGACGTGAATCATTGTCGTGAATCATTGTGCGGGAAATATTGACTCTTGTTGAGGGTGATGTCATTTAAGAAACAGCAAAGTAGCACAAGAACAAAAACGAGCAGCGCTGTCGTAATCAGTGCAGAGGCGGTGACATTATACCAAGGTGACCATGGAGGAGGTCTGCTTCTGGAGTAGGTCAGGAAACAGGGAGGCTTCTCACTAAAACATGATCAGAGCCTGTTCCTCAGTGTAACCGTCTGTCCTCTGTTTGTCTGTGTTGTTTAGTTGCCACGGGCCGTCAGCACTCAGGCTCTGAGCAGCGCCGGACTTCTCCGAATGGTCAACAAGGCCGCCGACGCCGTCAACAAGATGACCATCAAGATGAACGAGTCGGACGCTGTGAGTGAAAGAGGAAGGAAGGAAAGGAAAGAAATGGAATGATGGAGAAGGAAACATAGTAGGGAGGAAAAGAGAGAATGAGGATGGAGGAAATGTAGGAGAAAGGAAATCAGGAAGCGGGTAAAAAGGATTAAAATAAGGAAAGAGAGAAGGCAGGAAGGAAAAAGTAGCAAAAAGAGAATAGGAAGGTAGGAAGCATTACAGGAAACGAACTAAGGATGTAGGAGGAAAGTAAAGGGAGCAACAAAAGATGGAACACAGGATGAACAGTGGATAACTGATTATTTTGTTATAAAGAAGTTTTAAAACGTTTCACAGAACCTAACTCTGTGTGTGTGTGTGTGTGTGTGTGTGTGTGTGTCAGTGGTTTGAGGAGAAGCAGCAGCATTTTGAGAACCTGGATGTGCAGCTGAGGAAACTTCATGTCAGTGTTGAGTCTCTGGTCTGTCACAGGAAAGGTACCTTGTCTTCGCTTTAGTAAATGCACTCTTATATAAATGGTTTTCTACTTCCTTGTTGGTTTGGTGTGTCAACACCTTCACACTCTGCTGATCAGGTTGTGTGTCTGATCACGGTGTAATGATTGTTTTAATCCTGTTGCTTTTTCATTCTGCAGGCCAAGTTGTTACAGGTCTAAATATTTATTTAGGATTGTCGTCATGTTTCTATTTTCACCGACTCTTTCTTAGTCTTATGTTAAATAGTTGAAACTGCTTTAGTTTGCTGATCCGCAGCCTTAAGGCACATTCTGCGTCACACTGTGGCACCAGACTCTTGCATCTCTCCTGTCCTGTCCTCCTCAGAACTGTCAGTGAACACAGCGCAGTTCGCCAAGTCGGCGGCCATGTTGGGGAACAGTGAGGACCACACGGCTCTGTCCCGAGCTCTGTCCCAGCTGGCCGAGGTGGAGGAAAAGATCGACCAGCTGCACCAGGACCAGGCCAATGCAGACTTCTACCTGTTCTCTGAGTTACTGGGCGACTACGTCCGCCTCATCACTGCCGTCAAGGTACGCCCGGGTCTGCTGGCACCTCGGTCTGCTGGCACCTCGCTCTGCTGCGGCGGCCTATGTACAGCCTCATTCCTCTGCTGAGCAAAGTAGATTTTATTTCTGCCACCAAAGTTAAAACCATCTGAATTACTGATGCATGAAACGGCGGAGTCCAGGGAGGAAGGAGACGGGAAGGGAAGCAGCAGAGGATATTGTACTGAGGACTGCAGCTGTTGAACCTTATTCGAACCAATTTCAGAATTACAGATAAAGATGTGACCTGCCGGGTTTTCACTGTGTGGTCCTGGTTGATTTTCCTGTCCTCCTCCTCCTTGTCTTCCTCCTCCTCCTCCTCCTCAGGTCAAATAGACCAAACAAATAGAAATCTAAAAGTCACAGAGAAACTTTTCTGTACTGTTCCCTGTTTTTAATCTGGGATGCAGCTAATAAAAAGGGTCCTGGCAGATGAAAGATGTCAAATTTAAATAAAGGCATTTTAGTAAAGTTGGTCAAATTTATCTCCATGATTAAAAATAATGTGTCTTGTGACTGGAACTTGATGTCATTGTTCAACGTGTGTGGTTTTCACATTTCTGGGACCTCAGGTGTGTGTTAAACTGTGCCTTTGTGTGTTCAGGGTGTGTTCGACCACCGCATAAAGACGTGGCAGAAGTGGCAGGACAGCCAGGTGCTGCTGCAGAAGAAGCGAGAAGCTGAAGCCAAACTGCAGTTCACCAACAAACCAGACAAGCTGCAGCAGGCCAAAGACGAGATCAAGGAGGTGAGAGCAGCACATGTCCACCTGCATCCGGTTCCGTCCTTAATCATAAAGATTTTGGTCTGATAATGGTGGTAATCACATGTTAATCAAATTTACTGTTACTGGCCTATTGAACAGTCACCGTGCAGATTATAAACATTTCAGGAACTGTACCAGAGTAGCACGTTATCCTAATGTTAAACAAGCAACAGGTGCGTCTCCATCGGTGAGTCGGTGTAAGACCACACTCCCCAGTCCTGTGCACTGGTTAGACTGGTAGTAACAAGGTGACGACAGGCTGTGTGTTGTTGTTGAAGTATTTTCAACACGGGGTTTCTCGGTCAGATGCTGTGAGGAAACACTTTGGCGTCATCCAGACTACACAGAACTTCCAGGTCAAATGAACGTTGTGACAGCACAAAGCAACAAAGTCGAGATCTGAGCGCACGTCAGGATGATTCAGTCTCACGTGTCGACTTCCAGACCGGGTACATCACAGACGTGTCTGTTTAAAGCTGCTATAGCGGAACCGTTTATACTACCTGTACGACCTGGTGATGAGGCAGAGTGAGCGGTGGAGGGTGAGCTCTAAAATGCAGCCGAGCATTTGAGGAAATTGTCACGGTGCAGGTTTTAGCTCATGGCTGTCATAGTTACACCTGTAATCATGGACCTGTTGTCCTGGGACGTCTTAAAGCCTTTAAGATCAGTAATGATGCCTACATTATTAACATGACAGTAGTTTGCACACACGTGGCTTGGTGCATCAGCTGGGAGCAGTGCTACGCCGCCCGAGGCTGCTGTGTCCAGTCAGCTCAACAGCTTCACCTTCACGGTTCAGTCATGTGAAAACTTTGTGTGTATAGATCTTGTTTTCCTGCAGATTCACACAGGCCCAGAAGACAAACCAGAGCAGGAGAGATGAGAAAAGTACTTTATTAGAGCTTCTGTTGAAGCTGTCACCACACAAATTCACCCTCTGCACTGTCTGTCAGGATGCAGCGCACACACAGTCAGCGTGGTCGGGGGTCCGTGTATTAGAACAGAGGAGCTGTCAGCCGTTGGCTCTGGGAGGAGAATGGGGGGGCGGCTGTCAGACGAGCCGCAGACGAGGACAGATAGCAGTAGAGTTACAACCAACATTTATTCGGAGCCGACGAGAGCTTTGCCGCCCGTCAGGAGTCTGCTTTTGGTTCAGGCCTTGACAGCAGCAACAGAAAACACACAGCAACTTTTTCTAAAGTCAGAAAAAGAGGAAAGAGTTTTACTTCACATGGCTGCTGCTGGAAACCTGCTGAGCAGCTGCTGTCCACGACAGCCTAAGGATTTGAGGAGAGGCCGATGTGCACGTGTCATTCACTAAACCGTGTCCACTGGTTGGCAGGGCTGGGCCTGCAGGCTGACGTCTATGTCCAGGCCCCTCACAGGTCTGACTGGGCCTCCGCAGCCTCTCGTCAGGTCGTATAGAAATCACGCACTGTCAAGATAAACAATCAAGCTCATGTTTGTTTATCAAAACTTGTGAGATTGTTCATCCCTGAGGATGTTACCAGACGCACAGGGAAGGTTAGGCCTGGCTCACTGGTTAGTGACAGCGTGCACGTTACTGACCTTCGCTCAGACGCTGTTTGTTGCTCAGCTGCTCCGTCACTGACTCCTGAACTTTCGGTGGCCACTGCACCAGTTCCTATGAATCTGCCAGAACTGCCCTCACACATGATTAACCCACACTGCCCCCTGTGGGCGACAAACTCCAACTACAGCCAGAGGTTGAAACGTCTGTACAAGTTGTTTTCCTAACCCTGTGTTTTTACACTGGATGTTATTTTTGCACCAGATTTAATTTAAATCAGAACCACACAAGTGCAGTTTACATTTTGTCAGTTTGCATCTTGTTTTTTTACATGTGTGACAGTTTTATGTCAGGGAAAGAATAAACAATTAGCAGAAGAATACATCCTTATTAGTGTTGTTAGACTCCCCTGCTCCCAGTCTTTGTGCTAAGCTAGGCTAACTGCATCCTGACTCTCTACTCTCTGTAAACACTTTTTTCATTTAAGAAAAGCCTCAGTTTTACAACAACGTGTCCTTAATCAGAACTTACAGAACAACGCGACCAGATGATTCAGATCTCTGACCCTGGAACCTGAAAACTCAGCTAAGAATCTGATAAAACAAATCCTGACTTTTAGTTCCTGACGATGATCTAAACTTGCACATGTATTTGTATCTGAAAGTCTGAAGAGTTTGCTTCCATCTCTGTAGTGATACATCCCAGAATGCATTGCGCAACCTGACATTTAAGCCGTAGGTGAATCAACAGCAGCTTCTTTTACCGCAGGATGTTTCAGGAGGGTTCCGTTTCCTTTCAGTGTTTTGGTTCCTCCTCACTGTTTGCTCATGTCTCTGGATCTTCCTCTATGATTTTGGAAGCTCCGAACATTTTTTTCCAGCCTCTTAAATTTTGTTGCACTTTCCCCGCCATGCTTTCCCGCAACCAGGAGATTGAGGAGGTAGGACCTGCCCCGTCTGTCTGTGTGTCTGTGTGCACTGACTGCCTGCTTCACGCCTTTGATTTGCCTCATTGTGCCATTTAGTTCTCATGTTCATCATTGTTTAGCTGAATCCAATATGTTTTCTTTTGGTTTCTTTTGGCTGTAGTTGCGTTGCTGCTGCCAACCCGCCCACAGTCATGTGAACTAGTTTGTCTGTGCAGGTCAGAGTTTCTTATATTTGTGTTTGGGAATAAATTCATGACGGAGATTAAAAAAATTCTTTGAATCAGAGTTTTGAGACTGAAAATACGACAGCAGACAAACCCTTTCATGTGTTGGCTGAGCTCATCTAGTCAGAGCGTGTCTTTACATCCTCGTGGCTCATGTAGATTAGTTAGTCTTTATCCATGACATCATATAACGAGCTAACGTCGCTGTTGTGTCGGCCTGGTAGAGACTCAGTAAACTGGACAGCTGTGCTGGTTCACTGAATGTTAATAATTAACTTCATCTAAAGTCCCCGTCCTCGTCTGGTTTTTTTTAATCTCTGTTCACTGCTGCTGGGAAAAGATGTCCTACATATCAGTATCTGAATCGGACGTGACAGTCTGGTGTTGATGAGGCAGTAATTGTCTTCTCTCCTTGTTATTGCTGTTGCAGCTGTTACAGGCCCACATCTGCAACAGTGTTCATTGTTGAGTCAGTTTAGAGCTGCATGATGTCGGTGCTCTGAAGGTTTACACAACAGTTTGGAGACTTTATGGCTCAGAATTGATTCACCGAATGAGCCAGAACTTTGACGTGTGGACGCAGAATGCATATTTGGATTCAAACCTGTGTGTGTGTGTGTGTGTGTGTGTGTCAGCTGGAGGAGAAAGTCCAGCAGGGAGAGAGAGACTTCGAACAAATCTCCAAAACCATCCGCAAAGAAGTCAGCAGGTTTGAGGTGAGACGATCTGATGGATGGAGAGAACGGTGTCCATCTGTTGATGTGAGCTACATCTTGAAAATGTCCATGTATTCCCAATAAAACATTTAATTCTTCAACAGAGAGAGAGAGTGAAGGACTTTCAGACCATCATTATCAAATACCTGGAGTCACTGGTTCAGACACAACAACAGGTAAAAAAAAAAAAAACATTTGCTTGAAAAAGTGTAAAAGCTGTAATTTCATTTGATTTAATAACATTTTAATCATCATAATGGCAGACTAGTCCACCTATGTAAAAAGCCTTGTGATTTTTAACATGCCCAATGCTACATGCACATTTTAAACAATACCACTTTAAAACTGTACACCACACAGAGAACTACAGTACATGAGTAAAAAGTGAATAATTGTTACTTCTCTTCTGCAGCTGATCAAATACTGGGAGGCCTTCTTACCGGAGGCCAAGGCCATCTCATAGAGTGCACAGACACAACACGTGGTCCTGACCGGCTCCAGTCCAACTCCACTACCCACCATGCACCTGCTCCCCCGGGTCTCCCTCCTCCTCCTCCTGTCCATGCCCAGAGTGAAGAATAGACATACAACAGTGAATCAGCTCAGTCACATTTCTGCTGTTTAAACAACAAAACTCCTTTTAAGGTCATCATGTTTTTCTTTTCTGCTGAACTCAGTGCTGCATTCAGGTGCTGTGAGAGCAGCTCGGTGGTTTCATGCACAGACTGATGCAGTTTTACTAACAGTGTATCCCTTGTCAGACGGCTTCTGTCTGAGTGAAGTCAGGAAAAATCAGGCTTCATATGATGTGTTCTTTTCAAAGGTAGACAATGAAAATCACATGTGGCCTGAACGCAGCACGAGTCGTGGCCCCGGTGACGGCCTCCACCCCCCCCCCACAGGGGAAGTCACACTCTGTACGTTTGTATTTGGGGGTTTTAAAGGCGATCTCAAAGATTCACAGCAAAGACAGGGCTCTGCATTGTAAAGAAACCATGTTCTTTTTTCATCACTTTGGTCTCTGGATGTGTGGAAGCATGTCCCTGCCCTAAGAAGATAAAGATGAAAAGTTAGGAATCATAAAGATAAAACCTGCCAAGGAAAATCCAGGAAAAATGTCAGGAGTAAGTCCAATCAGACATTTGATTTGGTTATAAGAGAACAACAGGAAGTCAACGTTATGAGACACTGAAGGGCTTGTTTACACGTGTATGTCATGGCTGTAAATCCAGTTTTTTTCTGATGTTTTACAGACGTGACTTTCTGCAGGTTTGGTTTTTTCTCCACAAAAAAAAAAACCAAAACACTTTAAGAGCCAGCAGTGTTCACGACCACTTTTATAACCACAGGTGACAGTAGTTTCCTGCCAGATACTTGAATAATTCAGTGTAATATTTGTGATGAAATCCTCCAGACTTAGAGATAGTGCCCCCCCAACATAAACAGATGATGCATGACAATATGCGAAACACAGCTGAAGTAAAACATCACAGGGTGACAAATACTTGACATTAATAAACACTTTAAAATCAACATGTAGCTGCTTAAAGCTATATATTGTCATGTTTTATAGGGTGTTTGTATGCTGCTTATGAAAAGAAGGATTTTAAAGCTGCGTTGCCCTGGTGATGCTGAAGTTTCTCTCTACTGCTGCTTCTCTGGGAGAGAAGGCCACGCTGTCCCTAAAGCCTACAGTACCCATGAGCCTCAGAAGCAGTTGCCCTGTCGAAGCTTTGAGTCAGAGCTGTAAAAACCCCAGAGTGTGACATTTTTCTGACCAGTTCTCCAAATGCTCTGATTGGATGGTTTTATTTTGCAGCACGTTTTTTCAGCTCAGCATTTGAAGCCAAGAATCCCTGCAGGAGCTCTGAGCTCCACGTGTAGCCCCAGACCTCGTCCTCTGCTCTGTTCGCTGATGGACGGTGTCGACTCCGTCCTGCACCATCAGTTGTTTCACAGTGTTGAAGCTGCACTGAGTGTCATCAGTGGGGACAAACCCTGTGAATGTGAGCTGTAAAACTGACCCAGAGTCAGTGATGAAGGACCGCATCTGCTCTTATTCTCTGTCTCCTGTCCAATCCTCTCACGTCCCCTCACCTTTCACAACAGGAGCCCTTTTTTTGTTGCTGTATGACCGTGAGTGAAGGCAACGCTTTCTGTTCCCTCTTTGAGCCAATGAACACACAGAAGGAAGAAACAGCTTGCTGCTGCCGTCTGAACAGGTCAAATCTGGACAAAGGGTTTGTCTTTGTGATTCGTCTCCTACCTGGACATGATTAATGCCCAGAGTTAGTGTTTTACTGATGGTGAATGCACCTGGAGGCACTGACCCCATTTTCAGAGGGAGAATTCACAAAGCTAAATGCGTCAAATCACATCCAGGTGTTCCACTGTCTGTTTACCTGCTGCTGCACTGAAGGGTGTCAGTTGGTCTGAACGTCGGGCTTAAGCCTGGGCTCGGCCTTAAGCCTGTATAGCGCCGAATCACAAAGTCAATGACACATTAGACATGTTAGTCGTTGTTAATAGGACCTGTAGTTTGGACCCGCGTCTCACTGAACCGCCCATGTTTTCACCAGTACCTCAGAGGAGTGTTTATTGGGGAGGCGTTGACTGCTCCTCAGCAGTGGGAGGTGAACTGATCATTTTACCATTCATAGATCAAACCAGTGTGTGGAGAACCAGCGAGACAAGGTGTCAAAGGAAGAGTTTTTCCTAGAGCCTGGGTCCAATTTCAATCCTGTAAGTAATGAAAATGGTTTCCTCACACCCAGCCGAGTTAGACTGTCAGCCATGAAACAGTCCCATCACAGTTGGTGAGGCAGTGTAAAAGTAAGACACAACCTTTTAGCACTTGTTCACTGCTTTGTGTTTCAGTGGGACACCTGTCTCCTTGTCTCTCTGTCACAGCTGAGTCTTAAAGGACCAAAGCTGCTGTTGCTTTTACTTCAGACCAAAAGTGAAGAGAGAAAAATGTTTTTTGTCAAGTCATTGCGTGATGTGTCCTAACAGTTGTATCCAACAACACGGACTGTGCAGCACTTCATTGAACCTGCGGTGTGATCAGAACCCTGGTCTTCTTCTTCCCCGTGTTCATTTCCCTCAAAGAGGAAACTTTTTGTTTTGAGTTTTATTTTGTTAAATGTAACAGGAAATGAAGGAATCAAGCATTTCGTTAGCGTCTTTAGCCTTTTGGCCTGTGATGCCAACACGCTGTCGTCATTGTGGATGAAGGTTTTTCTGCTGAAGCTGAGGTGGATGTGAGACTGTGTCTGTCCAGAGAGCGGCGTCCGGCTGTGACCGCCGTACCTCCTGTTTCTCTTCCTGTTGATTGGTGGAACGGCCGCAGTCAAAAACACTGGACTGCAGAGTCTACAGACTCGTCCTTTCATTTTATTTTTGTTGAACTTAAAGCACATTTCCTTCTCAGAATAAAATCCAACATCCTGAGTTTATCAAATCTGACACGTTTCTCTTCTTATTGATTTGAAACTGGAAATATTTTTGATTTTGTTCTTTTCAGCCCTTGTCCAAACTCCTGCATCTTAAATCATGAAACACTGTGGTCAGTGCTACCTTTTGTTTGCCTCCGAATGATGTGCAATGCTTGAGATTTGTTTTCCACAGAAATGTTTTGTTTGAGCAGATTTTTTTTAACTTTTTGTTTTGACGTGATGTTCCTGCGATGCGGCCGAGCAGACATCTGAGTACTTTAATTACAATAAAGGAATGTATCTCATCTGTGGCTGGACTGGGTTTAATTATTCAGATTGAAAAACAAAAACACTGATTTCAGGTTTGTCAGGATGTAGATGGATCCATAAAGTTGACTCTTTATTTTTCTGGGCTAATTTTTTTATTAAAAATGTTTCATCTCTGCTATTTAACCCTCACTGCTAATGCAGCTGAGGATGAAATCACTCCCAGGATTAAGAGCAGTGATGCCTCTCTCACAGAACCAAATCAAATCAAATCAATTTTATTTGTATAGCGCCGAATCACAACAAAAGTCATCTCAGGACACTTTACAAAGTAAGGTGTAGACCTTACTGTTATCACTATTATTACAGAGGGAAAACCCAACAAATCCCCCTTGAGTAAGCACTTGGCGACAGTGGGGAGGAAAAACTCTCCCTCACAGGGTGACACAAATCTCATTTCCCTTATTTTGATCGTTCCTTGATCCTTGCTCGACCCAGAAATCCTTCAGGTCGCCATCATGAAGGACGTCCCAGAGCTCTGATGAGGAGTCGTGAGCGTCCAGGGCTGTCGCAGGCTCAACCAGCTGAGATCCTGAGGCTGCACGTTTGTGTAGAAGGTGAACAAACGCTCTTCTGCCTTTATCAAGTGACTCTACAGCCATGTTTAGTCCCATGGCATGTGAGGATAAATTCATACCCTGTACCATCGGCAGGTCCAGTATGATGGCTCCACCAGCTACAGACTCATTAGCAGTTCAGTTCCTGTCTGACGGTGTCAAACGTTATGATCCTCACAGACGTCGGCGTTCTGTGCCATGATGTATTGAATTACACCGACTTCACAAATGTGAATCTGATTTTCAGTGATGCCAAATGTAATCTCAGAGCATACTGACCTTTGTCACCTTTCACCTGTTGTGGTCACAGTTCAGGTTTTGGCTGCCACACTGTAACAGTGGGATTCTCCGGTTACAACCCTTGGGCCCCTGTGCCTGTGCTCACTAGGCCCTTCATTAATCCATGCTTTGCTGTTCTCTCTCTCAGCCTGTAGGCCTCCCTGTGCTGTAGGCCTGTGAACATGCAACCCATTCATATGCAACAGTCCCGTCTCTGTCAGGTTGAGAATAATATAGCTGGAACCTCCCACTAACACTTTAGCTGAAGACTAATGGTGCATTCACTTTTCCTGCTTCACCTCCACCTCGAAAATTTTCACTCTGACTCCAGAATAATGTGTCTGCATCTGTTTTCCTCGCTCGCTCTAACCTCTCGCTCTCACATGACTCCAGAATAATGTAGATGTATTTATTTTTACACTCCCCGCCTCGACCCCCGTCGCTATCAGTCTGGCTTTAGAATAATGTAGGCGCATCTGTTCTGCTCACCTCCTAACCCCTCAATTTCCCCGCCACTTCAGGATAATGTAGGTGCATTTATTATCTCTGCTCGTACTGCCGCTGCTGTCTCCGACCCATTTTACAATAATGTAGCAGCAGGTACAACTACAGCGAACCCCCCCCCCCCCCCCCACCCGCG